GTGTGTTCTCTCTCTCTCTCTCTCTCTCTCTCTCTCTCTCTCTCTCGCTCGCTCTCTCTCTCTCTCTCTCAACCCGTGCCCAGAGGCATGCACAATACCTGTTTCAAATCCCTTCCATTTCCCTTCTCCCACACCTTGCTTCTCTCAACTCATGCTCACACCTCATGTACGCCCCCCCCCCCTTCTCTCGTCATCATCCGCGTGCAGTCGACGTGCATGGCGACGTGCCAGCCCGGGTATGTTGGGCCCGCCTCCCCCTTCACCTGCCAGGCAGACAAGACGTGGGGCGGTAACTACACAGATGCCTGCACCCCAATTGACTGCGGCCCAACAATCCACAACGCAGATGCGCTCAACGTGACAGCCACGTGCACGGGCGACACGCGTTACACGGGCGATGCCTGCACTGCCACGTGTGCACCGGGATACAGAGGCCCTTCGTCAACCTTCACGTGCGGCGCAGACGGCAAGTGGACAGGCAGTCCGCAGTGTGAGCCGATCCAGTGTGGCCGCCCCGCCCTGCTGGACTCGAACGTGCGCCTGCGCTGCTTCGACACAGTGGCGCTGGGCCGTGGCTGCCGTACGTCCTGTGCTGTTGGGCGCAAGGAGGGCACAGACTTCACGTGCAACGCCGACGGCCAGTGGGAAGGTTTGTTACGTGCATTCTGCCGCCCACGCAGAACACGACCACAACCACAACCACGTCCACCACCACCACATCCACAACAACCACGCGCCCCGCAGCGTCAACTGCGAGTGCGCTCGAAGGCGGCACGCTGATTGGCCTCATCATCGGTGTGATTGCGTTCCTGCTGCTGCTGGTGGTCGTCGTGCTCGCACTGCGCCTTCGCTCCAACCGCACCCGCCCCATCAACGGCCCACCGGGCATGACCAAGGGGCCTGGTGTTGCAGAGACAAGCATGTACACCAACCCAACGCACTCGTCATTCAGAAACCGCAAGCTCCCGGTTCGTGTGTGTGTGTGTGTGTGATGCGTGATATGTGTGTGAGAGGTGGAAGTGTGTGTGAGGTGTGGAAGTGTGTGTGAGGTGTGGAAGTGTGTGTGTGTGTGTGTGTGTGTGGAAGTGTGTGTGTGTGTGGAAGTGTGTGTGTGTTTGTGTGTGTCCGTGTCTGTGTGCATGTCATATGTGTGTGATGTTTGCATGTTATATGTGTGCATGACTTCATGGATTTTCTCTGCTGCCCTCACGCCCCTCCGGCAACACCGGATTGCATCTGTGTGATTGCTCGTGCTGTCAACAGGAGGACCATTACAGCGTGTATGCTCGTGCCGCCATGACTTCCCAGCCACCACGGTATGTTGTTGCTGTTGCTGCTGCTGCTGCTGCTGTGTCTCTTTTGGCGAGTGTACCTGCGCTGCTCTTTGCTCACGTGCGTGAACGGATCTGATCTCTCTTCGCACGCATGCACTTTGCCTTCCGGCTTCCTCATCATTCCACTCACCATCAATCCCAACCCACACCAACATGCTTGCTACCACCAGGCCAAGTGCACCGAAGCCGATTGGCGCAGAGTCGAGCACGGACTACGACGCGATGCGGCAGACGTCGTTCAGGAAACTCGAGCCAGGCCTCGACGTCACCACATAACTAGCACCCTCACACACGGCACCCAGCCACACGTGCTGCCGTTTGTTGTTGTTCTTGTTGTTGTTCTTGTTGTTGTTCTTGTTGTTCTTGTTGTTCTTGTTCTTGTTGTTGTGATGGGTTCTATGTCTCATCGGTTGCCTAACTCAAATACGTCTTTCTGTGCGCGTGTATACTGTGTGTGCATGAGTGTGCTGCTTCTACCACATGCTTTCCCATTGCATGGTGCTTCTGTATTGCGTCTGTTGACTCCGATTTCACGGTAGCCCAATCTTTTATGTGTGTTTCCATGTTGTGTGTGTGTTTCCTGCGCTTGTCTCTCTGCTTCTTCTGCGTTTTGTGCGTGCACACATGGAATGAACAAACGCTGTTTCCCATCCGTTGTCGTCGTGTTGTTGTTGTCTTTGATTGGCTGTGCTTTTTTGCCTTTGAGGCCGCCGCGTTTGAAATACAACCACCCACATCAACACGCTGATGGAATCACACAGCTACAGTGTGAATGCCACACACACGAACACGCACACACACACACACACATATACGCTCGCGCGCGCTTGCACACACACGTCCACACACAAACGCACGCACACACGAACACACATATACGCACACACACACACACGTCCACATATACGCTCGCGCGCGCTTGCATACAATCACTCTCATGACGAGGCCACAGTGGCAACGCCATGGCCACCGCCCAGCGAGACAAGCAGCTGCTTGGCGCGTTCTGTTTTCCAGTCCGAAAGCTCGCGATGCGTCTCAATGACGTGCACGTACAAGGACAGGCAGTTTTGGGCACATTGCCTCACGCCGTCACGTGTGCGCAGTCCTTCCAGCTCCGTGCACAGTCTGCATGACACCTTGTGACGCTTCCAATCAGCAACCTGGCACTCACGCCCACAGTACCACACGCAATGGCACCGCGCGCACGTTTGCAAGCGCGCCTGTTCTTGCTTGCATGCAAAACACCGCCGCTGTTGCTGTTGCTGTTGCGATTGCTGCGCATGCAAATCATCCGCGCCATCCCTATCATCACCATCATCATGCCTTGTGTGTGTGTACAGCTGCAGAACGCGAGGCATTCGCCCACGAACGGCAATCCGTGCGCTGCCATCGCCATCTTCAATATCATCAACACTGCCATCGCTGCATGTAGCGGTGTCTTCTCTTGCACTGCCCGCATCAGCATCACCACGGCCAGGCGTGCGCGCGCGCGTGTGCCCCAGAAGCCATACGCACATCTCGCCCGCGTACATGAGCGAGAGGAGGTGTGTTGAGCTCAGCACGCCGCGTTCAACCAACCGCTTTGCCTTCTGCTGCTCCTCAGCCTATGGCACGCATGGCACGAGCATGAGGTGTCAGGGGGAAAGTGGAGAGTGCAAGTGCGGAGGGCCGGGTGGTTGTGTGAAGTGTGTGTGTGTGTGTGTGTGTGTGTGTGTGTGTGTGTGTGTGTGTGTGTGTGTGTGTGTGTGTGTGTGTGTGATGGATTCATCGAATGCGACAGCAAGTAAGAAGCAACCACGGCGAAGCAGGTTATGTGCTATCCTGACACACACACACACGCACGCACACATGCACGCACACGCAAACAACAACATAGATGAGCCACCTGCTTGGCAATGAGGTTTGCGCCGGTGGAGCGCGTGAGAAGAACAAAATGGGCGACTCCCGTCCACATCAACTGCATCCAACATGCAAGTGCACGTGAATGTAGAAACGTGAGTGAGTGCGTCATACTGAAGCTGATGGCGTGCAGCGAGACGCAGGCTGTCACTTGTCACTGGCACACACACACACACACACACACACACACAC